CAGCTACTCAGGAGGCTGAGGCAACAGCATTGCTTGAACCCAGGAAGTGGAGGTTGCAATGAGCTGAAATCTCATCACTGCACTCCAGCCTGGGCAACAGAGTGAGATTCCGTCTCAAAAACAATAAAATAAAATTAAAAAACAGAGAGAGAGAGAACAGAGAATCTGTAGATTTAAAGAGACTTAAGGGACATATCCAAATGCAGTGTGTGGATTTATTTGAACTCTGATTCAAACAACTATAAAAAATAACAACACAGAAACATTTATGTGTCAATTAGGGAAATGTAAACACCAAGGGGATATTGTCAATATTTAAAGATTTACGGTTAATTTTGTATGCTGTGATAATGGAATTGTGGTTATGTTTTTAAAAAGGGTGTATAGGAGGGAGTCCTTATATTTTAGAAACATATTCTCTTGATACATTGCTACAGTAATGGCCCCCAGTGGATTACTCCTCATTTCTATGCCCTTGTGATTCTCCTTCCCACATTAATGCTGGGCTTGGTTATGTGACTTGTTTTGGCTAATAGGACATTAGCAAACATGACGCAGGCAGAGACCTGAAAAGTGCTTGCACATTGGGGCTTGCCCTCTTTTGGAAAGCTGCCACCATGAAAGCCTGCCGAAGCTAGCCTGCTGGAGAGGCCATGTGGAGAACTGAGGCACCTTAGCCAACTGCCCAGATATGTAAGTGAGGCCATCCAAGACTGTCCAGCTCCAATCAAGTCACCAGCTGACTGTATCCAAATGGCAGAGCCCAGACAAAACCAACAGAAGAACCATCCAGCTGATCCCAGCCCAAATTGTTGACCCACAGAATTATAATCTAATAAATGATTGCTATTTCAAGCCACTAGACAAAGGCAATAGATAAGAAATGTAATTCTGTGGTACATACAAATGAAACTACAGATGTCTGGGGATTTGTTTAAAATAAAGCCGGGGTGGAGTGAGTGGAAAAACACACGAAACAAGATTGATTATATGCTGATAATTGTTGAAGCTGGTGCGGAATATGTGAGGGCTAATTTTACAACTCTCTCTGCCTTTGGTTTTGTTTGAGACGGAAAATTTCCATTAACAAAAAGATAAAACAGGCTGGGTGTGGTGGCTCATGCCTGTAATCCTAACACTTTGGGAGGCCAAGGCAGGCAGATCACTTGAGGCCAGGAGTTTGACACCAACCCGGCCAACATGGCAAAAACCTGTGTCTACTAAAAATACAAAAAATTAGCCAGGCATGGTGGTTCACACCTGTAGTACCAGCTACTTGAGTGACTGAGGTGGGAGGATCGCTTGAGCCCTGGAGATTGATGCTGCAGTGAGCTGTGATCATGCTGCTGTGCTCCAGCTTGGGTGACAGAGCAAGATCTTGTAGAAAGAAAGAAAAAGAGAAAGAAAGAAAGAGAGAGACAGAGAAGGAGAGAAGGAGAGAGAAAGAGAGGGAGGGAGGGAGGGAGAAAGGGAGGGAGGGAGGGAGGGAGGGAGGAAGGAAGGAAGGAAGGAAGGAAGGAAGGAAGGAAGGAGGGACAAGGAAAGAAAGAGAGAAAGAAGAAAGAAAGAAAGAAAGAAAGAAAGAAAGAAAGAAAGAAAGAAAGAAAGAGAGAGAAAGAAAAAAGAAAGAAGAAAGAAAGAACAAAAGAGCGAAAGAAAGAAAGAAAGAAAGAAAGAAAGAAAGAAAGAAAGAAAGAAAGAAAGAAAGAAAGAAAGGAAGGAAGGAGGGAGGGAGGGAGAGAGGAAGGGAAGAGGAATTATTCTTCTGTCCACTAACAGATAAAGCAATCAAAACCCGAAGAAGGAAAGTGAGTTCTGCGATATAACACAGCCAAGTCATAGCAGAGTTCATTGCTGAACTAGAGCTTCCCTGCTGGCTCCTGGGTCAAACCCTTTCTATCCTCCCACATGCTCAGAGGCAGGGAAGTTCCAAAAGACAAGCAATATGAGTAGGAATAATTTCTTCTATTGCTTGAGAAAAGCCTGGTAGCATACCTAAGACGTGAGAATATGATGAGAACTTTGATGACAAATGATTATCATCTGTGGGATACATTGTTTATGTAGTGTTTGGGGAAGAAATATTTGTTCTGCCATATATGTGCATTCCATTACATAAAAAACAGGCAGGGAATCCCTCCCTTCCACACCCTGCCCTGTTTGGCACTAAACGCCTGTTCTGTTTTGAAAGGTTTGTAGATAACCAATCAGGGCTGTGTTATAGTGTGTCAGGACAGCAATACTAAAAAGCCATTTTCAAGTTCAAATATATTAAAGTTGTCTCTTTCCCACACACACAAAATGAGCACAGCTTTCATTATTCATCAAATGAAAAAATTAAGCACTGTAATTATCTGTCTATGGCCCCAGGATAGGCTGTGCTTCATTTAATCAGACGTTGCTACGTGAAGCCGCAGACTACGTCTGGCCACGAACAGACATAAAAGAAGGGCTAGTTGATGAAAAAAAGAACAAAACCAACTTTCAGGTCTTCATATCCAATGTTGCTTTCCCTGAGAACTTCTGAGCCTTAAAACTCAGCTGGAGTTTACAAGGAGGAAGGGAGATTCTAGAAGGTGATAACTGGGCCCGTGACACAAAAGCCAAATACAACAAAGCTAATAAAATCTTTCTCATAACCACATTGGCAGGGCCCCTGCCTTGCTTTTCTTGAGAGGATCCATAGGGCTCTGTGTTTATGTTTGAGGATTTGTCTGAAATCCTAGAGGCTTAGAGCTAGCGGGCAGGGCTTGGTGAGGCCCATGCGTCGTCAACGGCAGGAATCGGCACTCCCTGAATTTAGCTCAAATGTAGTCCTAGGCTGGGCGCCGTGGCTCACCCTGTAATCCCAGCACTCTGGGAGGCCAAAGCGGGCAGATCACCTGAGGTTGGGAGTTTGAGACCAGACTGACCAACATAGAGAAACTCCGTCTCTACTAAAAATACAAAATTAGCCGGGCGTGGTGGCCATGCCTGTAATCCCAGCTACTCGGGAGGCTGAGGCAGGAGAATCGCTTGAACCTGGGAGGTGGAGGTTGCCGTGAGCCGAGATCGCGCCATTGCACTGCAGCCTGGGCAACAAGAGAGAAATTCTGTCTCAAAAAAAAAAAAAAAAAAAAAATCCAGTCCTGCAGGAAAGTGTAACATGTGGAGGTATCTGAGGGGGACCCCCAGCCGTTCTCCCTTTTTTTGGAGGCGCCTCCACAACCCCTGCTCAATTCCCTGAGGGTACTGAGTTTCTGAGGGTCACACTCAAAACAGATTTTTCTAGGCCAGGCGTGGTGGCTGTCGCCTGTAATCCCAGCACTTTGGGAGGCTGAGGTGGGTGAACCACCAGGTCAGGAGATTGAGACCATCCTGTTTAACATGGTGAAACCCCGTCTCTACTAAAAATACAAAAAATTAGCCGGGCGTGGTGGCGGGCGCCTGTAGTGCCAGCTACTCCAGAGGCTGAGGCAGGAGAACGGCATGAACTTGGAAGGCAGAGCTTACAGTGAGCCTAGATCGAGCCACTGCACTCCAGCCTGGGTGACAAAGCGAGACTCAGTCTCAAAAAAAAAAAAAAAAAAAAAGAGTCACAGATTTTTCTGATTTAATTGTCATTTAATACATAGAAGCTTTCAAAACAAGGGCTCCTGGATGAGGGTGGAAAGAAGGTTGGGGTCCTAGTCCAATGTAAGGTTCCTTTCACACTGGAGCACCCAGGCTTGCTTGACCTGGGTGCCCACTGGCTGAGCGCCTGCCCGGAGTGGCCCAGTGGGGATCTCCTCCTCCCTCCCAAGCCAGGGAGAGGGATGAAGGCAGGAAAGATGGCCACCTCCCCCAGAAGAGTAGTGTCTGGCTTTCAGTGCAAGAGCCCCTTCTCTCCCAGGTGCTGGAAAACGTCGTATTTTACTGATTTCCCCCTTCTCCCCATTCCCTCCTTCCCCTATCTGTTGGAGGCTTGCAGCTGTCCTTTTGCAGTAGACACATGGTGGTCTCAGGAGCTAACATCAGCCCTTCTACAAGCCAGGGGAACATCAAACACTTGCCTGTCAATCGAGCTCCACTCAGCTGGGTTCAGACAGGCTCAGGGACCACCCCTGGCTCAGCAGTGCGGACTGTAGCCTTGTAGCAGTTACTGCTGCACACACGTGAGGACACACAGGCAGGGCACGCATTTGATACAGGCTTCCCGCGGAAATACCTTCTCAAACCTGGAGCGGGGTGAGAATGCGGCAGCCCTCGGCCCCTCCTGGGTCAGAAGCTGGCTCAGCCCAGCGTTCACAGAGGCCAGCCTCCCAGAGCCCGAGAAGAGGCCTGCGCCAGGCGTGGTCACTGTAGGATGCAGATTGTGCAACAGGAGCCAAGGGATGGAGAGGCATTCTGGTCAGAGACTTGGAAAGCTTCTGGAACAGGGCGAAACATTCATCAGGTGACCCAGGGGATAGGCCCTCCAGGAAGGCAGCCCAGTTCCAGTTCCAGCAGTAGCCGGAGTTCTCGGCATGTTAGGACGGTGGGATCCTAGCCTGGGGCGTTGGGGGGTTGGGGGCGAGCGGGAACAGGACAAGGCCTGCGGCAGTGCAGGAACCCAGCTGGGGCACCCTGACCCTCCGGCCATGCCCTTCTGCTCCTGTGCAGGGGACAGCAGATGGGAGCTCGGGGACTGACATCCCAAAGTCCTGGTCCCCTCCTTGCTCTCGCAGCCAGTCCTTGCTGTAGGACAGTGACCCATGTCTGCAGCCGGACCCAGCCCACCCACAGAGCCCGGCGTCCCAGAGCTGCTGGGGGGCACGGTGGTCGGGAAGTGAGTGGTTGGGCAGTCCTCCGCAGGGCTGCTGCCAGGTATCAGCCTCGGAGGTTTCCCTCAAACAGAGCCAACGCCCGCAAAGACCTGGGCAGACCGCATGGGCCAGGGGGTCAGGGGACCGGGTCCCTCAGAGGAGTCAGAAAAACGCTCCCAGGAGGACGCCAGGCTGCTGAGGCCCGTGGCTGACACCAGGGGGCAGGGCGGGGCGGCGGGGATGGCTCCGGAGGAGGGAGCCGCCCAGACCCAGCCCGGGGGGCGAACGAAGAGCGGGCGTGGTGGGCGCCTGCTAGCTCCGGCTTGCGGGGTTGGGCCTTGGGGACATCGCTCGGGGAGGGGAGAGCCCCGGGCCCCGGCCGCCCCGCGCCGTGGCCGGGAAGGGGGACACAGCCCAGCGTGGGGCGCCCGACGGCTTCTCCCAGCAGCCCGAGCCCCAGCGCAGGCGGCGGCCCGGCCCCTTTGTGCCTGGCGTGTCACGCGCGGGCGCTCCCGCCGCCGCGCCCGGGAGAGGCCCCCGGCACCCCGGGCCCCTTTCCAAGCACAACAGCGGCCCCGCCGCGGCCCCGCGCTGACCCACTTTCCCTCCCGCCTCCTCGACCCGAAGCTGAGAATCCAGCGGCCGCCGCCAAGCAGGTGCGAGCCGTCGGGCGGGGCGCGCGGGCGGCGGAGAGGATGGGCCCCTGAACCACCCCGCGCGCCCCACCACAGCCTCCCGGGGCGAGCCAGGTTTCCGGGGCGGGGACCGCGAGGAGGAGGAGGAGGACGGCACGGCGGGGGAACGGGAGGGAGAGGACCCGGGGCGGTGGGGAGGGCAGAGGAAGGGGGAAAGGAAGGCAGAGAGATGAGGGAGAAAGAAAGGAGGGGTGCGGGAAAGGAGGAGGGGAAGGAACGGTGGGAGGAGGAGGGGCGGTGCGGGAGAGAAGGCGGAGGGGGAGGCGGAGGGAAACCGCACCCCTGCCTCTTTCCTGGGCCGTGGCCAGCCGGGGAGGAAATGTTGAAATGGGCGAAGTGCACATCCGCCCCCAGGCCTAAGGGGTCTAGGCTCAGGCCGCACGGACCCCGCCCTTCCCAGCCCTTCCTGCCTGGCCTCTGGGCGAGCCCTGTTGCTGGGAGGCGGTTCCCTATGGAGCCTGGACCCTCCCCCAAGTTCAGCCCGCTGGAGGCGTGTGCACTTTCAGATGAGAGCACTTGTTCACCGAAAGACCGTGCGTACTTGGCGGACGTCTGGCCCCAGAACCTCGAGGAGCAGGCTGGCTAATGCCGTGGCCTGGCACTGGGAAGCGCCGGTTCTCCGTCCCTTTCCCTGCTCCTGGGCACCCCAGGCCCCTTGGGGCGTTCTTACACTGCCTGAGGCAGACCTGGAAGAGTCCCCTGAGCCAGGGCAGGGGCTTTGCCTGCTTCGTCCTTGTTCACCCCTGTGCGTAGCTACTACCTATTACCTACCCACCTGTCCACAAGTGTCAGTGACTGATATAGGGGAGTCACAGTAATTCACACATCTATCACAAATGGACATGGATACTCACACTTCCTTCTTATCCCTACTTCCAGGCAGCCATTGTTAATGGGTGCGTGTGTACAGTTCTGGGCACATACCAACATGCACAGATGTGTGTTGACATGCTTTGTATAGAAGAAACGGGGTCAGGATACAATAAAAAGAGCTAATGGGTAATGAGTATTCATCAAATGCCAAGCTCTTGGTCTGAGCACTTCGCATATATTAATTTAATCATCACGAACTCAGTAAAGTTTATTACAATTATTCGCATTTTTCAGATGAGGAGCCTGCGGCACAGAGAGGTTAAGTAGCCTGCCCAGGATCACACAGCTACTAAGAACTGAAGTCAGGATTTGAGCCTGACTCCAGAGCTCATAAGGGTAACAATGAGGCCTCCCACTTTGCTATGCATATTATTCCACGAATTACTGTTTCCACTAAGAATATGTTCTTTTCTGCATCCAATGGAAGATTCCCAGAAGAATCTAGAAGATTCCTAAGAACTGCTGGCTATGTGGGTTTGAGATTTTTTTTTTTTTCCTGAGATGGAGTCTCTAGCCTGTTGCCCAGGCTGGTGTGCAGTGGCATGATCTCAGCTCACTGCAACCTCTGCCTCCCGGGTTCAAGCGGTTCTCCTGCCTCAGCCTCCTGAATATCTGGGATTACAAGCACCTGCCACTATGCCCAGCTAATTTTTGTATTTTAAGTAGAGACGGGGTTTCACTGTGTTGGCCAGGCTGGTCTTGAACTCCTGAACTTGTGATCCACCCACCTAGGCCTCCCAAAGTTCTAGGATTACAAGTGTGAGCCACCACGCCCGGCCGTGTGTTTGAGATTTCTAGAGACATTAGTAAAGCCCTGCAAAACAGTGGAGACCTTACAGCAGCCTGCAGGTTCAAACTCCATACTGGACTCCCACCTCCCCAACCCCCATCCCCGCCCCACCAGAAAAGGACCCTCCATCCCCTTCAGGTCATAGAGTGAGGAAGAGGGAAGCCTCAACAGGCCCATATGGCCCTGGTAATGGGCATGGTGACATTTGGGCAGAGAATCCCAGGGCCCTGCATCTGCAGACCTGGGACAAGCAGCAAACGCCCGATGGGAGTGCTAGTGGCATTGCCTGGCCGTGGCTCTGTCCACCTGTGGCATCATGTCCCATGGGCAAAGTGTCTGAGCAAGCCTGCTTCTGCCATTGACCTAGGGAGGCCTCATGACACCTGCTCATTGTCCAAACCTGTTCTTCCTGCATCCTCAAGATTCTGAGTGCCCTCCAAAATAAGATCTTTTTCTGTAGTTGTTACTATGGGTTAAGAACCCTCCTGTCTGATACATACAACTGATTGCAAACTTTTAAATTTTGCCAATCTGATAAGCAAAAAAAAAAAAAATTCCTGGATTTAGTTTACATTTCCTTTTTAATAGGGAGGTTGGGTAGAAACTTCTTGCTTTGCTCATGCCTGTAATCCCAGCACTTTGGGAGGCTAAGGTAGGAAGATCCCTTGAACTCAGAAATTCAAGCCAATCTGGGCAACATAGCAAGACTTCACCTCTACTAAAGGAAAAAACAATCCATTTTCCTCTTCTTCCTGCCCAACAGATCTGTGGCTGGGCAGCAGCTGCTGAGCTCCACTGCATTTCCTGCCTGCTTTACAGTTAGGCTTGTCCACAGGACCAAGTTCTCAGCAACAGAGTAAGAGCAGGCCTGTGATAGGAGGCTCTTCTATTCCTGGGCCTCCAAGCTGCCTAGTATCTGGCTGTGGCAGTGCCCTAGGGGAGGTCAGCAGCGGGAGAGAAGGGTCCTGGGGTTTTGGGGGACCAGGAGGAGCAGAGCTGCTGCTCAGCCCAGACCCATAACCCGAGAAAGTAAGAGTGAGGGCTCATTTTGTGTGTTACGTTAAACGTCTGGCCACATTGCTCAGATATTTGATTAGACACTAGTCTAGATGTTTTTATGAAGGTATTGATTGACTGATTGAGACGGAGTCTCACTCTGTTGCCCCGGCTGGAGTGCAGTGGCACAATCTTAGCTCACTGCAACCTCTGCCTCCCAGGTTCAAGCAATTCTTGTGCCTCAGCCTCCCAAGTAGCTGGGATTACAGGCATGTGCCACCATGCTCTGCTAATTTTTGTATTTTTAGTAGAGATGGGGTTTCACCATGTTGGCCAGGCTGGTCTCCTGACCTCAAGTGATCTGTCCGCCTCGGCCTCCCAAAGTGCTGGAATTACAGGCCCGAGCTACCACACCTGGCGAAAGTATTTTTTAAGATAAGATTAACCTTTAAATCAGAAGATTTTGAGTAAAGCAGATTATTCTCCACAATGTGGGCAGATCTCATCCCGTCAGTTGAAGACCTTAAGAGAAAAGAGACTGACCTGCTCCGAGCCAGGAGGGATTCTGCTGGCAGACTGCTCGTGAACTCCAACTTGGAATATCAGTCTCCAGCCTACCAGCTTACTCTGCAGATTTTGGATTTACCAAGCCTCCACAATCGCAGAAGCCAAGTCCTCAAAATAAATCCCTTAAAACAGTTCCCTAAAATAAATTCTTCAAAATTCCTTAAAATAAATATGTGTGCATGTGTGTGTCGGTGTATATATATATCCTATGTAATGTCTAATATAGATCTATAATATATATTAGATAAATATACACATATTTATCATATATATGTGTGTGTGTGTGTATGTTTCTCCTATAGGTTCTGTTCTCTGGAGAACCTAATACTGAAACAGATCTGTTTTTTCATCTACCCTCTGTATCATCGGGTCTCTGTTAGAACAGGTGAGCCTTACCCTGACTAATTCAGAGGTGGATTCGTTTTCATGCATGCAGCTACTTCTTGTTTAGCTTCTATTATCTGCCTGTATTTTAAGGTTCTTTGTCTTCATATGACTCCAGGAATGTTATATATTAAGTATATTAACCTTTTGACTATTATATGTGTTGCAAACATCTTCTTGCAGTCAGTCACTTGTCTCTTTATTTTATTTGGAGTGGCTTTCAGCCTAGAGCAGTGGTCCCCAAACCCAGGGCCGCAGACTGTTCTCTGTCTGTGGTTTGTTAAGAACCAGGTTACATAGCAGATGAGTGGCAGGTGCGGGAGCATGACCACTTGAGCGCCGCCTCTTGTCAGATCAGCAGTGGAATTAGATTCTCATAGGAGCACAAACTCTACTGTGAACTGTGCGTGTGAGGGATCTAGGTTGCGCCCTCCTTATGAGACTCTAATGCCTGATGATCTGAGGTGGAACAGGTTGATCCTGACCATCCCCACCTCAGTCCGGGCCTATTGAAAAATTGTCTTCCATGAAACCGGTCCCTGGTGCCAAAAAGGCTAGGGACTGCTGACCTAGAAGATATATTAGTTATGACTCTTGATGCATACTCGTGACAGAAATCCCGCTCAACCTAGTATAATGCAGAGGACAGTTCACTGAGCAACTCAAATAATTGCCACTTTTATAATATTGAAGCTTCCCACAGGAAACTTAACACATCTCTCAATGTATGTCCATTAATATGATTAAAAATGTGTCTTCATGTAGGTTCTCCAGAACTTTGGTTATGCCTATGCCTAGATTATTTGTGATTGTTGTTGGTTTTGCAAACGTCCTCTCCAATTGATTATTTATTGGTATCTATGGAAAGTATTGGTTTTTGTGTATTTGCTCTGTGCCCACTTGCCATCCGACTGGTTCTTATATTTTATTGACCCTTCAGAGGATATGAATTATGCTGATTTTAATGTCTTATCCTGATTCCTGCATTATTATCCTGTTTTCTCCAGGGTTCTGTCTACTTCTTCTGCAGGCTGTTGGTTTCCTTCAGATGTCTGGGGGTTCTTGATTATCCGATCCCATTTGTAAACGAGTGCCCAGACAGTGGTTCTCAAAGTGAGATCCACGGATGCCTGAGTTCTTAAGACTCTTTCTGGGTGTCTGCAAAGCAAAAACTATTTAATAGGAATAAAAAAGACTTTTTTTTTTCTGATGGGTGTTCAGGTGTTCCCTTCAGCAGCACATATACAAATGGGTGTTCAGTGGAGTTTTCCAGAGTCTACATGATGTGTATTATCACTACAGCTTGAAAGAAGAAGGAGGTATGAAAATCCAGCTGTTGGCTGGGCATGGTGGCTCATGCCTGTAATCCCAACACTTTGGGAGGTGAGGCAGACAGATTACTTGAGGTCAGGAGTTTGAGACCGGACTGGCCAACATGGTGAAACCGCATCTCTACTAAAAAAAAAAAAAAAAAAAAAAAATTAGCTAGGCATGGTGGTGCATTCCTGTAATCCCAGCTACTTGGGAGGCTGAAGCAGGAGGATTGCTTGAACTGGGAGGCAGAGGTTGCAGTGAGCCGAGATTATGCCACTGCACTGCAGCCTGGGTGAGACTCTGTCTCAATAAATAAATTAATTAAATTAAACACATAAAATTAAAATACATAAAATTAAAACAACAACAAAAAAGAAAATCCAGGTGTCTATTAAGCCAGACATTGGGGACTTTTTGTTTGTTTTTGTTTTGTTTTTTTTGAGACAGAGTTTCACTCTTGTTGACCAGGCTGCAATGCAGTGACACCATCTCAGCTCACTGCAGCCTCTGCCTCCCAGGTTCAAGCGATTCTCCTGTCTCAACCTCCTGAGTAGCTGGGATTACAGGTGCGCACCACCATGCCTGGCTAATTTTTTGTATTTTTGGTAGAGATGGGGTTTCCCCATGTTGGTCAGGCTGGTCTCAAACTCCTCACTTCAGGTGATTCACCCACCTCGGCCTCTCAAAGTGCTGGGATTACAGGCGTGAGCCACCACGCGTGGCCCATTGGGGAGATTTTAAAAAATATAAAATGGACCAGGCATGGTGGCTCGCGCCTGTAAACCCAGTACTTTGGGAGGCCAAGGTGGGCGGATCCTTTGAGGTCAGGAGTTTAAGACCAGCCTGTCCAACGTGGTGAAACCCCATCTCTACTAAAAATACAAAATTAGCCAGACATGGTGGCACATGTCTGTAATCTCGGCCACTTAGGAGGCTGAGGCAGGAGAATCGCTTGAACCCAGGATGCAGAGGTTGCAGTGAGCCGAGATCACGCCACACACATATGGATAATGTATACACACACACACATATGTATAATGATGTCACTCTTCTTACTAAATAAACTATTTTTAGAAAAAATGTAGCTATTTGCTTTTTTTTTTTTTTTTTTTGAGATGGAGTCTTACTCTGTCACCCAGGCTGGAGTGCAGTGGCACAATCTCAGCTCACTGCAACCTCTGCCTCCAGGTTCAAGTGATTCTCCTGCCTCAGCCTTCCGAGTAGCTGGGATTACAGGCGGGCGCCACCACACCCAGCTAATTTTTGTATTTTTGGTAGAGATGGGTTTCACCATGTTGGCCAGGCTGGTCTCCAACTCTTGACCTCAAGTGATCTGCCCACCTCGGCATCCCAAAGTGCTGGCATTACAGGCGTGAGCCACCACACACAACCTGTATAAGTGTTATTTATGTTAACATGCCATTATTAATGTTTTAAAATAAATGAATATTGAAATTTTTTTCCACTTAAACTTCTACTACCATAAATATCAATAGATACAACTCATATGAATGAAAGCCCGCTGAGACCCTCAGCCATTTCTAAGAGGGTGAAGGGTTCCTGAGTGCAGTGTGTTTGCGATCTGTCAGTCTCCACCAATCATTCTTGCTGTGCGGGGTAGTTCTTGCACACAACTAAACCGCCACCGTCTGACAACCCTGGCACCACTGGGCACTTGTGGTCATGGAGACAGGCCGGGAGGTTGCAAAGGCAGAGTGCCTTCCTGGGCCTCTGATCTGGGCCACTCTCCCTGTCAGTGTGGCTGATGGTGCCTGGCAGTCACCTGGGCAGGCCCCTGCTTCTCTCTTTGGGCCAGTGTTGGCTCTAGAGGCTCCCGGTGCGTCTTTGTCTTCAGTCTGAATGCTGCACTCAGACTTGACCCTGGGGCAGGCAGGACACTGCCTCAGCCACCTGGGTAGCCCTTTGTGTGATGACCCCATCCAGGCTCCATGAGTCATTCCTTCTCCACTGCCCCCACCCTATACCCCATTTCCAGACTTGAGGGTTTTTAAGATGGTCTGCCACCTGCATGCCATTGGCTCTAATGCGTTTCACCACGAATCTGATCTCCTCTGCTTTATATCTTCCAGAAATTCACCAATGTTCTGGTCTGTTGGTGGCATTTTTCCTGGTTTTCAAGGGCTTGTAAGTGTTTTTATATTTATCTTACTACATCAGATGGCGGGGGAGATGGGTAGGAGAGGTGCAGTTGAACCTTGAACAATGTGATGGTTGGAGAGCCAAGCTCTCACGCGGTCAGAAACCCTTGTATAACTTCAGGCTCCCTCCAAACTTAACTAATAAATAGCCTAGTGTTAACTGGAAGCCTTACTGGTAACATTAAAAAATCAGTTAACACATACTTTGTATATGTATTTATACTGTATTCTTACAATAAACTAAGCTAGGGAAAATAAAATGTCATTAACATCATAAGAGAAAGTATTTACTAAGTGGAAGTGCATTATCATAAAAGTCTTCATCCTAGTTATCTTCATGTTGAGTGGCTGTGGAGGAGGGGCTGGTCTTGATGCCTCAGGGTGGCGGAGAGGAAGATGTGGAGGAGATGGGAAGGGAGGCAGGAGAGGCAGGGACACTCTGCCTGTATAACTCTGATTGAAAAACCTCCCTGTGGGTGGACCTGGGTGGACCCGCACAGTTTGAACCTGCGTTGTTTAAGGGTCCGCTGTGCTTGAAAGTGTTAGTCAGCAGTCCTGAACGAAATGTAAACAATGGTTGAATGAAGGAGCAAGGGAGCCTTAAGGGTGAGGAGGGGCGGGTGTCGGCAAGGACCTTCCTCCAAGACAGGGTTGTTATCAGGGGCAAATGGTGACTGATGATCCACAAGAAGGTGTACCTGTGTGACAACACCTGTAAGCCAGGTGGGATCAGGGTGCGGCCTGTCGTCTGCTGTCGTCAGGAGCTCAGCAATGGATGGAAGTCCTAGGGGGACAACACACGCAGCTTAGCAGCAGGTGCCTCTCCCTTTGCGCCTAATTTAGCCGATGGGAGTTTAATTTAGCCACGGGGGTGTAATTGCTAGAAGAAAAGGGAAGAAAAAACCTGATGCCCTCACCGCCTTCCAACCTTCCAATCCTGACTCTTCAGGAAAACCCTGGCTCTCAGACGTCTCCAGAGCGCCTGGCCAAGAGTGAGAAGGTGCGGCTGGTGTGGGGCGGGGGGGGCGGGGCGGGCGGTGGCAGGATGCTCCCCAGAGTGGGAGAGGGGCGCAGGGAGGGTGCTGCAGGCGGCCTGGGAGTTTGGGGGCGCCGCCCTTCCTCCTGCCTTGGGCACGACCGGTGGATACTGTCGAGTGTGTTGTGGTCCCCTTCTTAGGAAAAGCACAGAGAGCCCTTTAAAGATGTGGACCGGACAGCAGCAGGGGGCCCAGGGTGACCACGGTGCAAATCAGGGAAAGGAAACGTAGGTCGACACACATTTGATTTAAAAGAAAATAACTTCCCTCCCGAAGCAGAGGCTGGGCTAGGTGCCCTGGCACAGGCACAAAACCAGAGGAACCCTTGCCGCTGCTCTGGAACGTCGGGCCACACCCTCCGGATATGGGAAAGGCTTTCTTCTCTATTTCAAATGACCCTGTTTCGCCTTTTTTAGATGCAAATGTTTATTTGGTCTGACTTTGAAATACCTCGGTGCAGCTGAAATAATTGCAGGCAGCCCCGTGAGCAGCAGCACTTCCCGACCTTCTCACATGCAAACCCTCTGCTGCAGCCGCCAAGCGCCCTCGCGAGACACCTGAGGGGCAGCCCAGCCCCTCCCTCCCTGGGCCGCACGGGCCGTGCCGCAGCTGGTCACCCGCACGAGGACCTCGGGGTTGCCCTGCAGACTGGCACTTCTGCAGGGAAGTGATGGCAGCTGCCGTGGAGCCAGCATTTGTCGGGGACCTGGCACCCAGGCCACCGGCTCTGGGAGAGGGCTGCGGGGCTGCGGGGCTCACCTTTCAGGGATTAGCTTGTGCCACTTGACTTGTTCCCCCAAATCCTACAAGTACAGAGGATGTGCAGAAATCTGAGAGAAACAACCTCCGCAGCTGGTTGTTGTGGGGATTAAATTAGTAAGATGCCTAGAAAATACGATTGAGGAGTGTGGGTGCCTGTGACTTGGCGGTGGGTGGGCTCCACTCACCACCCTCCCTCTGCACCTGTCGGAGGCATTTGAACCAGAGCAACTCCATTTTGAATAGGGGCCGGTAAAATAAGGCTAAGACCTACTGGGCTGCATTCCCAGACGGTTAAGGCATTCTAAGTCACAGGATGAGATATGAGGTCGGCACAAGATACAGGTCATAAAGACCACGCTGATAAAACAGGTTGCTGTAGAGAAGCTGGCTAAAACCCAAAATGGCAACAAGATGTGTCCTTTGGTCGTCCTCAGGGCTACACTCCCACCACCACCATGACAGTTTACAAATGCCATGGCAACATCAGGAAGTTACCCTATATGGTCTGAAAAGAGGAGGTATGAATAATCCACCTCTTGTTTAGTATATATTCAAGAAATAACCATTAAAATGGGCAAACTGCAGCCCTTGGGGCTGCTCTGTCTATGGAGTAGCTGGTCTTTTACCCCTTTAATTTCCTAATAAACTTACTTTCACTTTATTCTGTGGAAACGCCCTGAATTCTTTCTTGCCCAAGATCCAAGAACCATCTCTTGGGATCTGGATTGGGACCCCTCTCCTGTAACCCACCCACCCAAGAAGTGCTTGCTGATCTGAGGGTTCACAGAGTCAGCGGCTGCTGTAGTGTCACCCCCTTTTATAGATGAGAAAACAGCATCAGAGTTTGTTGTTGTTTGAGATGGAGTCTCACTCTTTCTCCCAGGCTGGAGTGCAGTGGGGTGATCTTGGTTCACCTTTCAGTTTCAAGGGATTCTCCTGCCTCCCAGAGTAGCTGGGATTACAGGTGCCCACCAAGCCCAGCTAATTTTTGTATTTTTGGTAGAGACGGGATTTCACCATGTTGGCCAGGCTGGTCTCGAACTCCTGACCTCGTGATCCGTGGGCCTCTGCCTCCCAAACTGCTGGGATTACAGGCGTGAGCATCAGAGTTTTTAAGTCAGAACTGGAGCCTGAGCACGACAGGTGCCAGAACCTGGACGTTCCCCGAGGGGCTGGCCTGCCGCACAAGGTTCGCCAGCTCTCGCTCTTTGGGTGTGAGGTGTGGGTGGTTGCGTTCTTGCGCCTGCGCTGTGCCTGGCCGACGGGTGTGCAGGGGGTCCTCTATTTCGCTCGTTTTGCCTGGGACTGTGTGCCTTGTGTGCTGCGTCGTGGTCCCAGCAGTGGATCTCGGTAGGCACAGCTAGACTTGGTCCTCAGTGGCCCGCTGTGCCCTGCGGGGGACCCTTTTGCACGTACCGTTCCCCCTGGCAGTTGCCTTCCCTCCCCAGGTCCTGGATGGCTCCCACTGCTGGCCAGGGCTCAGGCCGGATTCTCTACTAGACTCAGCGAGGCCCCTGCAATGTGCCACGATGCAGGCCCTCCCAAGTGCGCCCATTATCCCATCCTGGGCCATGGCAGCTCCTGACACAAAGCAGCAGCTCACATATGAACGGTGGTGGTGTCCCTGGGGGAGATGGAGAAAGAGGGGCTGGCAAAAACCAGGCGGCACAAACCTAGAGCGGCCTTGCCTTCACTTCACACAGTGCGGTGGGCCTTTCCTCCGCCAGCGTGAGCAATTGGAAGCCGGCCTGAGCCCAGTTCCCAGCTCTGAGAACATTGTGTTTGTAATAGGAGCGAGCGGTGTGTTCGGAGTTGGTTCCTTCGGGTGGGTTCGTGGTCTGGCTGATTTCAAGAATGGAACCCTGGGCCTTCCGGGTGTTATAGCTCTCAAAGATGGCAAGGACCCAAACGGTGAGCAGCAGCAAGAGTTATTGTGAAGAGCAAAAGAACAAAGCTTCCACAGCATGGAAGAATACCTGAGCAGGTTGCCGCTGCTGGCTTGGGGGAGGGGGGAGGCCAGCTTTTATTCCCTTATTTGTCCCCTCCCATGTCCTGTTCCTGTACTATCAGAATGCCCTTTTCTCAATCCTAGCCGGGACTGGTTACTTTTAGAATTCTGCTGATTGGTCCATTTTACAGAGCACTGATTGGTTCGTTTTACAATCCTCTTGTAAGACACAAAAGTTCTCCAACTCCCCGCTGGACCCAGGAAGTCCTGTTGGCTTCACCTCTCAGTGGGACTGTGTTTAGGGGACAATTCCACCGAGACACAGTGACCTGACCATGGGGTGCAAAGCTGGGGCCCAGACAGCCTTCCAGACAGCCTTTTACTATATTGGGGATGTGGCTTTATGGAGTCATGCTGGCCACTCCCTCCAGAAGAAGCCTGATGGATCAAAGATGGAAACCAAAAAAATACCGGAAGAAAATGATTAAAACAAAAAAACAATTGTTGGCCAGGCGCGGTGACTCAAGCCTGTAATCCCAGCACTTCAGGAGGCCAAGGCGGTCAGATCATTTGAGGTCAGAAGTTTGAGATCAGCCCAACCAACATGATGAAATTCCTACTGTGCTAAAAATGCAAAAGTCAGCTGGGCATGGTGGCGTGCTTGCAGTCCCAGCTACTCAGGAGGCTGAGGCAGGAGGATTGCTTGAACCCAGGAAGTGGAGGCTGCAGTGAGCCAAGATTGTGCCACTGCAGTCCAGCCTGGGTGACAGAACGAGACTCTGTCTCAAACACACATACACACACACACCTGTAATCTTGGAGAGGGTTGAACTCTTTAATGATCTTGCAAAACCCTGTGGCCATAAGCAACATAATTGATTTATTCTACCAGATAAGAAAAAAATATATCTGCATGGCAGAAAACATCCTGCTTAAAGTTAAAAAAAAAAAAGATAAATAGAAAAAAAATATGGCACATTCCTAAGATGGAATTTACCCTGCAGTCATGAAAAAGAATAAGGTATACTTAAGTGTATGTGAAAACAGAATCATATGCATAATAATATATGTAACTTACGGCACAGGCAAAGGGCCACTATAAATCAAAGACAGAAATCCAACAACTGAATTGAAAAATGGGCAACGGGAAGAAATCCTTCACAGGAAAGAAAAATGCCTCTAAACATTTAAAAATATGCTGAGTGTCATCACAATAAGAGAAACGCAAACTGAAATATCAATGAGATCCTACTTTCCACTATCAGATCAGCAAGTTCTAAACTTTGACAATGGCCTTTCGAGTGAGCTGAAGGGACATGCTCCATGGGGGAATGTAGTCACATTTACCAGAACTGCACACATATGTGCTCTGGCCCGGCAAGCCCACTTCACAGTCTTGTCAAGACATGTAATACAGAAGCTTATCAAAGCATTGTAGTGATTGGAAAAGGATAGGAACAGCTTAAGAACTATCAGAATTAATTACATCACATCCCTAGGTCAGGTCTGCATTACCATGCAGTCATTGAAAAAGAGGGCGGTGGCTGGGCGTGGTGGCTCTCCTGGTGCAATCCCAGCACTTTGGGAGGCTGAGGCAGGTGGATCACTTGAAGTCAGGAGTTCGAGACCAGCCTGACCAACATGGTGGAACCCCATCTGTGCTAAAAATACAAAAACTAGCCGGGCGTGATGGCGGGCACCTGTAATCTTGGCTACTCAGGAGCCTGAGGCAGGAGACTCGCTTGAACCTGGAAGGCAGAGGTTACAGTGAGCCGAGATCACACCATTGCACTCCAGCCTCGGCAACTCCGAGTGAAACTTCAGAGTGAAACTCCATCTAAAACAAAAAAAAAAAAAAGGAGGTATATTTAGGTCTATGAAATGCAATCTTCAGAGTATATTGTTTCATGAAAAAGAGGAAGCTAGAGGGTATGTTCTAGACTTATCTCATTTGTTCGAATGAGTGTATGCGTGTGTGCACAGAAATTCCTGGTAGGATGTATAAAACATGGACATTCGTGGGTTTTCTCTGGGTTTCCTCTGGTGCTATGAACCAAATGTTTCTGTACTCCTCCCCGCAAATTCATATGTAGAAATTATCAGCCCCGGTGCGATGGCATTAGGAGGTGGGACCCTTGAGAGGTTAGGTCAAGAGGATGGAGACCCCAAGCTCTCTTCCTCTCTCTCTGCCATGTGGCCAACTGCAACCTGAAGAGAGCCCTCCCTAGGACCCAACCATACTGGCACCTTGATCTGGGACTTCCAGCCTCCAGAACTATGAGAAATAAATGCCTGCTATTTATAAGCCACCCAGTCTGTGGTCCTTTTTCATAGTGGCCTGAGCTGACTGAGACCACCAGGTAAGAGACCTGGGGTCTGGGGTAGGTAGCATTCCCATTGTCTCCTTTATTCTGTTTGAATGTTTGACTCCAAGCATGAAGGACATTTTTAGTTCTTTTGTTTTTTTGTTTTTTTTTTTTTGAGACAGAGTCTCACTCTGTCGCCCAGGCTGGGGTGCAGTGGTGCAATCTCCACTCACTGCAACCTCTGCCTCCTGGGTTCAAGCAATTTTTGGGCCTCAGCCTCCTGAGCAACCAGGATTACAGGTGTCTGCCACCATACTCAGCTAATTTTTGAATTTTTAGTAGAGATGGGGTTTCACCATGTTGGCCAGGCTGGTTTTGAACTCCTGACCTCAGGTAATCCACCCACCTTGGCCTCCCAAAGTGCTGGGATGACAGGGGTGAGCCACCACGCCCGGCCATTTTAAGTTTTTTAAAACAGTCAAAGCCATGCCTGGGGGAGGCTGCAGTCTGGCTCTGTCCCACCCTTGCCTGCTGCTGGTTGTACGTGGGGCCAGCCCAGCTGCTCCCTGGGTCAGGGTCTATAAGGCCAGCCCTGGAGAGGCAGATCCACAACACAGTCAGCACAGCACCGCACCAGGGCAGGTGCCCTGGGCTGAGGTCTGCATGGGGCAGCAGAGGCAGAGCCTGCCAGACCTGCAGACATTTCTGCAATTAATTATGTTCTTACTTGTCCCTAAGATGAGCACTTACCTAGGCATCGCTGATGCCCTCTGGTTGGGGCAAGGGGGGCGTCCCAAATCTGATGCTGGAACAGCAGGGGATCCCCTGTGGCTAGAGACCAACGGGCAGGCTGTGTGCCATGGGCTAGCTGGTATACCCAGGACACCTCAGCTCACACCCTCCTGGGAGGGACTGCCAGCCACTTCACAGGCAGAGCACAGAGGTGCTGGCTCCACCCCTGTGTGTGGGTGGCCCTCTGTAGTCACCAGCCTGGCTGTCTGCCTCCTTGTTCCAGGCATGGTCTCAATGGCCTCAGGCCCTCCCTCCTGAGCCTGATTAAGAAGCAAAGCACTCTGCAGTAGGGGACACTCTCTTCTTAGGAGGAGGCAGTGATTCTCACTAATAGGTGCTTTTCTTCTACCACATCATGTACATTAAGTGTTTTTTTGTTGTTGTTGTTGTTTGCTTTTTTTTTTTTTTTTTTTTGGACACGGAGTCTTGCTCTGTCGCCCAGGCTGGAGTGCAGTGGCCCAATCTTTGCTCACTGGACCCTCCGTCTCCCGGATTCAAGTGATTCTCCTACCTCAGCCTCCTGAGTAGCTGGAACTACAGGCGTGCACCACCACACCCAGCTAATTTTTGTATTTTTAGTGGAGACAGACAGGGTTTCACCAGTTGGCCAGGCTG